TGTGACCCAGATGACGGCATCTATTTTTTCTTTAAATGGGATGCATGAGAAATTTTCAAAGAAATTTTTGGACAACTTCCCAGAAGACAGATCAACTAAGGATGTCAGGCATCCCGCTGCAGGAATTGGTGTTTTACTAGGAGAAGTGGCTCCAAGGTCACCTTCACAGAACGTGTCTGAAAAGGAAAAGGCACTATATAGCTAAGGCAGAGGAGGCAGTCAGCAGAGTGGGTCTTGAGAACAGAGAGTTGTGACTATCACAGACTGTGACGGTGATAAGGAATTGACTTAAAGAGAAGCGCTCAGCCGGCCTTGCAGAATTGCAATTTAGTTTCTAGGTCAAGCTACATTATTCCAAACACTCAGGCAATATCTAACTCACCCTGTCCTCGGAATCTTCACCACTGAGCTCATTCTCAGTGGTCATTCTCAGGATTTGTTCCAGGCCCGAGAAAAACTCACTTTAAATCTCTGCAACCAGGAGACTGAAAGGGTCAAAAAACAAAAAATGGTGAACTATTTGACCATAAATAAATAAAGAAAATCCTTTATCAGTGACAACATGCTCAATCACACATGGCTGCACCCGGGGAATTCTGGCAAACTTGAGAATGCAAAATTATGGGCCAGGTACAGTGGCTCATGCCTGTAACCCTAGCACTTAGAGATGGTCGAATTGCTTGAACTCAGGAGTTCAATACCAGCCTGAGCAAGAGCAAGATCTCATCTCTATTCAAAATTAAAAAAAAAATAGCTGGGCATTGCAGTGAGTGTCTATAATCTCAGCTATCTAGGAAGCTGAGGGATGAGGATCTCTTGAGCCCAAGAGTTTGAGGTTGCTGTGAGCTATGATGATGCCACAGCATTCAACCGGAGGGCGACAGAACAAAAGAAAAACAAAAACAAAATTATAAGCAGCTTTCATTCATTGACTATTGTTCTTTTTCTCCGATCTGATGCTTCATTAGAACAAACTTGAACCATTAGGTGGATGGAAGATTTAGAAGTTATATGTACCACTACAGTAACATTCCAACTTAGAACTCTGAAGCTACTAAATTTCCTTAGATTCACATCCAGTATGCTTCTCCCTACAATGCTCATTCACCTACCTCACCTCTCCTGTAGGAGGCTTTATGCTCTTTGGATATACCTTTCTGTTACAAGGAATAACATCTTTAAGAAAAGGAATTATATTTATCTTGGTGTTCTCCCTTACCTCTGTCAGACCTCTAGGGCTTTCTTTTTATACGTTGTAGACATTTGATGTTTAATTAATTTAAAGAAATAGAGGATTTTTCATTATCATAAAGACTTTTTCAAATACCAAATTGGAAAAGAATTGCTAATGTTGGATAATATTCTGTCTTCTATTAATCGTGAAGATTTTCTCAAGACCAAGAGAATACTAAACTCTTATCAAAGCAGCCACATGGGGCATAGCTTAATGTTGATGTCACTCATAGATTTTCTTTTTCCTTTTTTTTTAACCTTTTTTCTTTCAAGTAATCAGCCTAGAAAAGAGTACCAAACACAGGAGTTAGGTGATTACTTCATATGGCTCATAGAATTCAGCCATCAGTAACCAAATGGTAACAATTGTTTTCTTTTCATTGTGACTTTGCTTCTGTCCCTGCCTAGAGGAACTGGCTACATTTGCTGTTCATTCTTGTCCCCTCTATCATATGAATATAAAGACCCTACTACCAGCTATTCGTGAGATGTAGAAACAAAATATTTTCACTTTGGCTTCTTCTCTAGATTATCAGCTTGCCAGAAAGAGCCCTGCTGGTGGATTGATTATTTTAAGACACAGTTTGGGGCAGATAAGGTAGTGGTACAGGATGTATCTTCTAAATCCTGCTCCGGCTTCAAAACTTAGTTTAAGTTCTTCATAAGAACTCATCCTCCTTCCACCCACAATATTCTATTTTCTCTTCATTTGAGCATAAATCGTCCTTCTTTGTTTTCTGTATTCACCTAAAGTAAAGGGTTCTGCTCAGGGACCAAGTTTTACAATTCTTTGGTAAGGCCTATGATGTATATAGCACACTGCTAGACAGTGATTGATATACATGATGAACTTTTTTTTTTTTTTTTTTTTGAGACAGAGTCTTGCTCTACTGACCCAAGTAGATGGCAGTGGTGTGATCATAGCTAATTGCAACCTCAAACTCCTGGGCTCAAGCCATCCTCCTGCCTCAGCCTCCTGACTAACTGGGACTATAGGCACATAGCATGCGAGGCTAGTTTTTTATTTTTCTTTCTTTCTTTTTTTTTTTTTTAGTAGAGATGGGGTATTGCTGTTGTTCAGGCTGGTACCAAACTCCTAAGCTCAAGCAATCCTCCCACCTAGGCCTCCCAGAGTGCTAGGATTATAGGCATGGCCACAGTCCCTAGCCCCTTAGAAAATTTCAGATATTCCTATAAGCACTAGGCATACTCCAAGACTCTATGGGTCTTGTTTTCAAAGAGATTATGATGTAAAATAAATGAAAAATAATTGAAAAACTTGGCACAGGTATAAAAACTCATTTTTTTTGAGTATGTATTTATTACAAGGCCTCCCCTGGAATGCCAAAAATTTTTTGGCACTAAACACTCTGTCTTTATGGACACATATCATTTATGTAGTATTTAAAAAATCTTTAAGAAAGCATTTGAGGTTATTCATCTTTCTCTTCATTGTAATCCAAGCAGGAATTTATATGACATGTCGTAGAAGGAAGAATGAGAGAAACATGTATTTGATGCTCACATTCCAGAGAGAAGATTCCTGGATACAATATCTCACATTAGAACTCCTCTCTCTCCAGTGTCAGTTAAATTTTGCTACCATGGAGGGCAACTGCATTAACAAGTATTAGAAAAAAAAGAATGACAAGCACATTTTCAAGCTACCTATCTGAGATTTACCCCAAACTAATACAGTTTGAATGAACTTGATGACTCTAACTTACTGCTAATGGTAACTTGGGTTACTGAGCATGGAAGTCACTTTTTTATTCATATCATCACTGGAATTATAATCTTAACCAATTGTCTAATTACAAATCCCTATTTTTATAGATGAAAAGACAGACTCTAAAGAAGTTAAGCAACTAGTTACTTAGTCACACAGTAATACTGCTGTGACAGATGAATTATCCAAACGTTCCAAACAGTCAAAGATACGGATGCAAAATGGGATATTTTCAAGTATAACGTCATGACTTTATAATCTGTGTTTCCTATGGCACTGGCTTTTTTCCTTTTCTCACTATTGTATAATTTCTTTCTCTCACTCTCTGGGTGGCAAACGGTTTGAGGACCAAACTCAAATCTAAATTAGACAGTTTAAGTTTGTACACATTGTGTCACACTACATATACTCACAAAAACTTGTTGAATAACCAATGAAGGAATGCTCTTTCAGCTTGTCCTCCAAGACTCAGGACGCAGACAGCTGCCATCTCAGAATGGACTGAGGGGACAAGGAAAGAACAGAGTAGTGACACAAAGACACCCTTTTAATTCCCTTTCAGGGCGATTCAAATTGTAATCCTGACCTGAACAGTCTCTGTGAAACACAATTCAGTCTCATACAATTCAGCAGTCCATTTTCCCATTTACACAAATCGATCTGATACCCCAAATGCAGAGTCTGTTATAGTCCTCATTTTATTCCTTTGGGAGGTGCCTGTACAAAGTTGTTTTTCTTTCTTTAATGGAGCCGGGATCGTCTTAGCAACTACAAGATATAAATCTTGCCTAACTGAATCATTGTGCTGGACGTAATGGCCAGGACAGCGACTGAGTTGAAACTGGAGCGAAGGTTAAAGTGGCGAATGGATGATGATAAACATATTTATGTCTCCCAAGTTCTTGGATTTGGATTAATCTTTTGTTTTGTAAGGAATATTGTTGGTCTCCAAATGCAAGGCCACTTGGGAGGGAAACAGGGGAGCAGATGGGGGTGGACTTGGAGTTGATTAGCAGTAAAACACAAGTTATGTGTAAATGGGCAGCTTCTCCCCACGTGGTCCCCTCCCCAACCTGTCGATAAGGACATTAGAGGGAAGCGGATGCTACTGGAGGCCCAGAATCTAACTTAAGCCGCTTAGTTGGTACGTAGTACAACTGTAAAACCCTCCACACCGGGGCTGGGCCCTGAAACCATTCTAAGCAAGCAGGGTAAAGAAAGGTAAAGGGACTCCAGTGTGCAGTGTAAAAAGGTAGGTTCCTTCCCCTCCACCCTCCCACCCCCGGGTCCAACACGCGCGATGGAAGTTACTCAGGGGCTCACACGTGAGAAGGCGGGGGCCCCCCACGCGGCGTACAGCCGAAGTCACTAGCTTGGCGCGCTCGCGCCGCAACCCTAAGCCCCTCTCCCTCCGGTTTCTGGAACACAGCCCGGGTTCTCTCCAGCTCCCCCGCATGATGTGCGGCCGTGCGCTGCTGCCAGCCGACCCGAAGCTGCAACGAGGGGGCTGGGGCGGCCACATGGCCCGCTCGAGGACATGGCAGCTGCGCTTTGTTTCCAGCAGCAAGAGGTGAGTCACCGGCTCCCGCAGTCCCCAAGCTGGGCAAACACTCGGGGCCAGGAAGCTGAAAAATTCACAGCAAGAGCAGCTACCACCGTAGCCCCAGCTTGTTCCTCCTCTTCCTCCTGCTTCTCCTCTGCCACTGTTAGCACCGCCCCCTCCGCCCTGGCCCCGCCCCGTTCCCGCCCCTTCCACCGCCCGGTTCCCGCCCCCTCCACCCGCGGACTTAGTCAGCGGTTCGCGCCGCCGAGCGCCCATTGGCCAGCGGAACGCGCCGCGTCACAATGGAGCCGGTCGGAGGCGGCTAGCCTGGCAGCGCCGGGGCTTCCCGCTGAGCCCGCGGCCGCCCGCAGCCCGGGAAGTGCGGGCGCGGGGCCGCCGCCGGCGCGCCCGGAGTGGCGCGGGAGCACGCCGCGGGGAGCGCCCACGCCCAGCGCCGGAGTCGCGCGGGTAGGTCGGAGCGCGACACCCGGGCTAGAGGAGGAGGAGCCGAGCCGATCGAGGTGAAGGAGCTAGAGGAGGATTGAGTGAGGGGACGCAGCAGGTGGGGTTGGCGGAGCAGGTGCGGTAACCTGTCCACGCCTCACCTGCGAACCAGGCTGCAGGGTGGTAGAGCGGCTGGAGGGATGAGTGGCGGCTTCGCGGCTCTCTGTCGCCCGCGGGAGAGAGGGAGCGGTGCCACTGAGAAGACCCCTCTTGTGTGCGGGGGTCATTGGGAGCAAGAAGAGTGGGCAGCCGCGCTGAAGTGGTCCTTCTCCACCCCAGCGGTCTGGGCACTGCCCCGGAGGGTCAATCCTCGGGGTGGGGCGGGAGAAGGGCTGTGATTTCCCTGGCTGGAGGCGCGCTGCAGGTGAGCGGAACTCCCTGGAGGGTGTCCTGGTTTGTTTGCTCTCCTTTGCCCTCAGCTCTGGAGCTGTTTGTTGAGAAGCATTCCAGGAAACGTGGTGTGTTCCTCTTGGATACTCGTTCGCTTGCAATTTTGTGGTAGTATTGGGTGATGATGTGTTTGAAAGGGAAGGGGGCAACCTGTGCCCCATTTAATGAGGAGACCTAAGAGTTTCCTCCTCCTGGGCTGCAGTTGAGCAAGCAGGTGCCGAGAGGTCAGAAGGGAGTAGGCTTTGTGTTGGCTTATTAATCTGTGTCTTCAACTGACTTCTCAAAGTCCATAGGTTGCTTTCGATCAGATGACATTTATGGAAGACTTTTCTTGTGGTTGGAAAGACTACCTCCCAAAGAACAAACCCAAATTTAAAAACAAGACCAGTGTGTAAACTTTCTTGAATAAATTCACCTTGCCTAAACACTGAAAAAAAATATCGCTGTAAAAAGATACTGGTATGAAAATTGTAAATGGTAAACATGTGACCAAATTAAAATAGTCAATTTAAAAAAAATAAATAAATAAAATAAAATAGTCAATTTGTTATGTGTATGTTAAGAAGAATAATTAGTATGTATTATTATCAAACTATTCTGTCCCCTAAGATGGAATAGAAGTCAAATTGTAGTATAATTACTTAATACCAGGACCCTGCCATGTGTCCAGGTTATACCTCCCTAAGAACCCAAAACCTTCTTTGAGCTGAGTGCCTAGGTGACTTTTTTTTTTTTGCCCCTGACTTGTTAGTCAGCAGCTTTATGAAGAGAATATAAAATAACAACCAAACTCCTGGTAATTGGGCCTGTGCGATTTAAAAATATAAGCCCTGACACATCAGATATTTTACTAAACTAAGAACAGGGCTCTTTATTCAGGTAGAGAAGGGGGGCAAAGTTATAATCTAGTGTACAGTTAGAAAATTTAGTACACAAAAAATTTTTAAACGTGCATGTTAGAATTAAGTTTACTGTTCTTTGAACTTGTTCAGCCTAACATGAATATTTTCACATTTTGAGTGACTTAACTAGTTGAGATTTACTTTTTTAAGCCTGTTCCTTATCACTGATCACCATTCACGATTGCTGTTTCAATTTTTAGAATTTTCAGAAAGAAAACACAAACATTTGTTAAAATAAAAAGGCATGCTAGTCTATAAGCCTATCAGATCCTCCAAGTTTTTTTTTTTAGACTAATCTGTATATTTCCTGTACTGGTCTGAAGTTTGTCAGGTTTTTTTGTTTGTTTGTTTTGTTTTGTTTTCTCGCTTACGCCAGCTTCATTTATAATTTTTTTTTATTTTTTTAGTTTTCAAATCACTTCAATAGTAT